CGCGCTGGAACTGCGCTGGTCCGCCCGGTCGGGCGAGCGGGCCGCCTCGTCACAAAGGCCCAGCTACTGGCGAATGTATGAGCGCGGTCGGTTATCGCCGTTATCGCGCGCCACATTGTCGGCATGCGCCCCGGCCGCCCCCCCCCCCCCCCTCCCTGCCGAGCTCTTCCCCTATTGACTTCCATGGCAGGTGACAGGAGGGGCATTGTTGTACAGGGTTTCCGACGACGCCATCCGTCGTCGCGGAGGCAATCCCGCCAGTCGTGGCGAGCTGGTTTGTGGACCACACGTGCGCGTGGCGTCCGCCCCACACATGATTTGTGACCACTGGTCGATCGGTCTATCGTTGCAGTATGGATTCATGCGTTGCCCAATTTGAGCGAAGGGCCGCTTCATGAGGCCCAAACTGCGTAACTTTCTTGCCTCGTACGCTGAACTTCGACGGAAATCCGGCCTGGAGTGGCGCTGTTACTTGGTATTTGTGACGTTGAGTGAAGGTAGTTAGGCCCTCAAAAACAGTCAAATCCCACCAAGCGGCTTGGACAGTGCTTGGGGTTTCCCAGGCTTGCCCTGCTCATTCTCCTGCCACCCGGCATCACTTGCCGAGCCTAAGATTTTTCCGAGACTTTTCGATCGTCAGATTTGGGATTTACTTGGGGAGTTTTAGTGCGTAATTACCACAGGCGGCTCTGGAAATGCTTCGGACAACCCGCTTGGGGAGACACTGGAAAGCGGCTCGGAGTCGACTCGGAGTCCCAACCAGTATCTCGCCTTCGAAGCTGATCTCAAGCATTCCCCAAACGCCAAGTTGGTGATGGGGGATCGCAACAAAGCTGCCATGATTCACGCGCTTTAATGTCCAAAACTTCCCGGTTGAAGACGCACCAGCTTCACGCTCTCAGACGTATTGCGCATTTCATTGAAAAATAGACTTATCTGGTGCAAACTCCTGGAAACGAGCACAAGCACAAAACATGCCAAGCTGCGCGGCTTACGTTGCGTTGTAAAACCGCAATAAGTCATCACTTGATATAACTAGTAGTTGCAGCTGATTAAAAAGGAAGCATCTGCCCGCCCTTTTCCTGCACACCGAACACCGTCACACTTTCTGTGCGTAACAGACCGTTACCTTGCAGTAGCCAATGCAGTCAGGAATGCTGTTGCGATGACGAAGCTGACTATGGGCAGAATCAAACGAGTCCTGCCCGCAGCCACCCAACTGGTCTCTCAGTTCACGCCTTCGCTATGTGTCCTTCTTGCGTTCGTGTGCTGTGTGTTAAGCTGCTGAAAATATTTATGTTCTGTATGTGATGTCCTTTATTGCCTTAAGATCTTTGAAGCTAGGTGAGCTGTGCAGGACAGCTATGAAGCGAACATGATAGAACTTTGCTTAAGCCGTGTGAGCCGCTGTAAAAATACGCTGACTCTTTGTGCTCTCCTCACGGCAGTGTGTAGACAGCACGAAAGGCACGGGAAGTTTCCAGGGCTATTGAATTCCACGAACAACGTCCGCTTTTTGTAATAATACCTTTAATTGACATAAACCAAGCTAATGCGGCCCGCGGCGGAGAAACATGACACCAAGTGATACAAATTGAGCGCAAGCCGGCTATTACCACTGACCGAGTCGATATTTCATGACAAACTGCCATTGCAGTTGGCTGAAATCGATGACGGATGCGTACATCCATCGTCATTAATCTGCCGGCTTCGTGTCCGTCTGGCTCTCAGTATGGTTGCATAATCCAATACTCGCGCCATGGAAAGCGCCCGGGAGGCGATTTTCGTGCACGTGGCCCGCTTGGCTTGGTGAGAGAGATCTTGCGTGGTACGGCGGATGCTTTCGCTTTTGTCCTGTGCTCGCAAGATGCAAAGCACGCTGCGGTCACGGGGAGAGGACACACACAATTGAAGAGGATAGGAAAGATAATACGCAGCTGGTGGGGAATCGGACTCCGGTGTACAGGTCGCGAACTGAAGTTCTCGGCACAGGCCTTGGAAAGGCAGAGGCAATATTTAACCAAAGTGCACCCAGATTCTCTCATAATGGGCTGCAGATGATGGTGTCGTCTAGTCTGCCTGCATCTCGCGTGAGGGATGTTATGCCTACTAATTTTGTCACGCTGACAACCAAGTAGATTTTTTGCTCACTCTCGTGCAAGATTCTGGAGTGATGAGTTGCAAATGGGTCAGGTGCCCCGCCAGGTTCTCACAAACGAATGCGGCAATATTTCCACGCACCCCGACAACAAAAACGCTCCTGGGTCGACGGCCTGGCAGCGATATTGCTGCGGCCGATGGTGAGGGCTGCGGAATTTGACCTCTGCAGCCCCCTCCCTGTCAGCTGTGCCTCGGGCTCACCTCACAAACACGGACGGACGTGACCTCTGCAGCCCCCTCCCTGTCAGCTGTGCCTCGGGCTCACCTCACAAACACGGACGGACGTGACCTCTGCAGCCCCCTCCCTGTCAGCTGTGCCTCGGGCTCACCTCACAACACGGACGGACGTGACCTCTGCAGCCCCCTCCCTGTCAGCTGTGCCTCGGGCTCACCTCACAAACACGGACGGACGTGACCTCTGCAGC